AATCTAAAATTATAAATACCATTAAATAAAAATGATTGAATTTGGAAGGTGAAAGCTTGAGAGTTACATACTGCTGGACAGAGAACTGCGTTGCCAGAATGTTGCATCGCTATTGTGTAGCAAATAAAAAGCAAACGTGTAACACCCTCCTTCGTAATGAAGTCTGGATTGTCTTCTTCAGCGTACATTTTTATATAACACTCTAAAATTTTTCCATCATCCATTATACCAAGAAAACGTTACATTGTTGACGGAATTGCCACTGTGCCTAAATAAGCTGTTCTAGCTTTAGATGCTGTATGCATTAGGCGAAATAATCTTTTGCCTAAATCGGCATATTGAGGAAAAACTTGTGACTGTAAAAAGTGACACAATGTCTAATGTCACACACATTGTAATAAAGAAACAAAATATCATTACTAACCACAAACACGTCTGAAACAATGCCGTTGACACCGTGCTTGGCAGACTTTCCTTTAAGAATTTCGGATAACTTTTCTATAGGCACAAGCTGGGTTAAGTACTTCTCCGTAAACATCCGCACCTGATGCAGATCTACTCATGGATCGTTCTGCCTTTAACATAGCATTATTATTAGCAAATGAATTTCCATCTCCTTTAGGAATAGTTTGGGTGGATTTCGGGGTTTTCTTTAGCACCACCTGACCCTCCATTCGGCGCATCGCTTCCGGAGTCACTCCTGGAATTTGAATTTCCCATTGGTTTGTATTTATATTTGCTACTGCAAATATTCACGTTTGGGAAATGTATTGTAGAAAGTGCGTACTTCTTTATCAAAACAAGAAAGTTTGTCGATTATACGAAAACCAAAACGTCTATCACAACACCATCAATTCAAATGGCAAATTTTTCAATCTATCTTGTATTTCTTTTTATAAGTTTGACATCAGCTGTCATCAGAGTACGTATATTATATTATGATATACGTTCTCTGTATTTATTATGATATACGTTCTCTGTCATTGGTCATCGAAATTTCAAGGTTGATTTTGTTTGTTCGCAATTTAGGTTTGCGCAAATTATAAATTTGTTGTTATTTTAAAATACCGTCATCCGAATT